AGAGAGAGAGAGAGACTACGGAAAAATCAGTATTAATATTACTGAATGCCATGAAATTCCAGTTGTTAGGCAGTTAACTATTGAAACATTAGGCATTCCCAACTGCACATCAACTGCTATAGCTGTGGAGTAGATGCTCTGCTCCTTTCCTAAACTCCATTATTAATATCTGAATAAGGTGATGAGCCCCCTCTACTGAATGAATATTGGATACCTTCCAGCTAAACAGCAACCGTTTCAACGTAACCTTACTCATTATACAAAACAAAAAACTGAAGAATCATTTTTCTAAGACAAGTATATCAAAATGCACCTATGAGATGAAATATTTAGCATTTTACATTTCTTTTAATTTAATTTCAAAAATCCAATCAAAATACATATGATCAGTTAGAGATGTATTTTGACAAATTTCCATTCGTCTGATGGATGTCCTCATTTTGCACATGTCCATCGCTAGGTGTCTTTCTAGATGAAAGTCAAGGAAGTGTATCCCATTGCACAATTTTAGTTTTACGAGTAAATAAAAGATCAAAGCAAGATATAAAGACTTAAAAGAGTCAAAATCAATATTTATCGCTTACCATTTTATATGCCTTCAAGGAAAGGTGAATTCTTGATAATCAACTCCCGCCTTTGCTTCTTCCCAAAAAAACAAAAAAACCGCAACAAGCACAAACAAAGAACAAAAGAGAACATTAGTTCAGGTGAATCTCTTCATATAACTTAACCATTAGATTTAGAAGGTTGATCTATACAGATTTTTGAAAAGAATTCACCAACTCTTCAAACTTTTAGTAGTATCACAGCTATTATGAGCACAACTCAACCATTCACATTAATCTAACAAACAGTAGGTCGATAGCCATATTGCACGAAACAAACCATCCTTAGATTGTTTGCAACAGCTATGACTATGAGGGAAGGTATTATGATAGATTTCATCATTCCTAATAAAACAATCCTCATTCTGTGAGGAACTGTTGGTTTCAGCACTATAGCATTTAAAACTAATAAAATGGTCTCCAATTAAGTATTAATTCACTTAAATTTCAGCATGCTAACAATCTCAGGTGCTAAAAACCTATAATGACAAACAAGTAATACGAAGAATAGAAGAGTGGTAGCAGCAAGATTTACAGGAAAGAATGGGAACCCTAACCATAACAACGACAACGTTGTTAATATAAATGCAAAGCTTACTACAATAGTTTGAAGCAAAAGAAACTTTTTGGGACCTTACCAGAAACCTGAAAGTATTGCATGTAAGTTTTAATCTCAAAGTACAGAAGAAGTCAGTATTTTTATGATAGATGAAAATAATAGATCAATTTTAATAAGAGAATTCAAAATAACCTAGGCTTAAGAGTCCATGACAAACACCTTACTTCAATCATCAAAGCCTATTCAATCTTATTCCATTCATATTAAGCAAATGTCACGTAAAAACTCTCATGATACAATCAATAACAATCAATGCTTAAAAAAACACTGTAGACATGGATTAGCCTCAGAAATAATACTATGACATGGATTAGCCTCAGAAAGTATTATATCATCAATGACAAGAAACTATCATGACACCATCAATAAACATTCAATGCCAATGAACCCCCAGATACCATGAGTTTTTCATTAATCAGACACCAAACCAACTACAAACCAAAACAAAAAATTCCATGAAATGGATGAGTAAAACCAGAGACAAATAAACCATTTATGTCATGGAACCAAAGAGTTCAGAGACCAAAAAAACAAAGAAAAAATAAACCTCACCAGTACAAACAAGTCAACTGGTCTTCTGATTCCTCATCAGAACATCACCCACGACCACCTTGGCTGCCCACATTTCTCCTGTTGCCCCTTCCACCTCTGCCACGTCCTACTCCTCTAGCTGGTGAAGAAAACCCTCTGTCCAAACGCCTTGACATTGTCCTTCCCCCTGGTGTGCTCAACTCCCGAGGTTGGTGAACTACTGTTGTAGTAGAAGCTGCTGTTGTTTCTTCCTTGTGCTCAGTCTCAGCCAAACCACTTGCACCACTCTCAAGGGCCTTGGATTCCTTGTCGTTGTTAGATTTGCCGTCATTCCCCTCCTCTGCCGCTTGTTCACCACCCACATGATGCCCTCGCTGCTGCTGCTCCTCATGCATAGAGGCCTCCTCGGCCTCAACCCCAGCGTCAACCTCAGTCTCAGCTTGAGTTTCAACTTCTGCCTCCACCTGAGGTGCAGCCTCGCCTTCTTCTGCCAAAAATGATGACTCCAGTGGCATCATCACTGCATCATCATCCATAGCCCCCTCCTCCTCAGCCACTAGCTCCCCCTCTTCCCTCTCTTCCACCACCATCTCCATTGGAGATGATGTTGTTTCCTGGTCGTCAGTCTTCTTTGATGCATCATCATCCTCTGCAACAGTGTTCCCAGGTGACTCAGGGTTCTCCGATAATGGTGGCTCAGCCTCATTTGCTGCCTCTAGATTCTGATGAGGAGGCTCAGCCTCAACTTCGTTCATGACACTGTTGGGTGTTTGTTCCTTTCTGTTGAGCCCAGCTGTATCTTCTTCCTTAATGAGCTTCTCTTGCTCATCAGAAATGTGAGCCGATTCCCCAGATAACAACTGATCATCAGCAGGAAGAGGAGGAAGGGTAACAAAACTGGTTTGGTCATCAGTCCTCGACTTCTTTGTCAGATCAAGTGACTGTTGTTCTTGTTGGTCATGGGAGAGAACTGCTGCTTCATCTTCCTTCAAGTCCAAAGAAGAAGCCAAACGTTTTCGAGCACCACTGGTTGTTGGCATTGGGACCTCCAGGTTATCAATGGAAGGTTGTCTTGCTTCCTCTGCCTCATTGCCCTTATGCCCACTAGTGTCAATTTCTGAAGTAGCCTCTGCTGCTGCTACCTCAGCAACATGCTGTTGCTGCTGCTGAGATGAAGCAGATGGACGCTCCAGCTTTGGCCGAACGATCTTCCTTGAAAATTTCCGGGCTTCAGCCATGGGGGGCTTTGACACCAACTGATGTTCCTCTGATCCCTTTACTGGCAGAGCAGCAGGAGGAGTTGTCTCTGTAGTTGGTGGAATGAGGGGAGTTGTAGAAGAAACTTGCCGGCTGGATTTATCATTTGCTCCAGCAGATGACAATGTATCCACAGGCAGGGGTTGCTCTGATGTCTGTCCATGGCCACTGTCACTAACGGATAGACCTGCTGCCTCCTCCATCTGCTCTATAGCCAAAAAATACCCAGCCGTTTTCTCATCCAGCTCTGTTTCCGAGGACAGTTGAGCTGCTGCCAACCCACTATTCTCTGTACCTCTATCTCTTGCATGCATGTGTTTAAGTTCCTCTTCCAATTTCTTCTTTTCCTGAGCAGCCTTCTGAACGATCCCTTCAAAAATCTTCCTGTCATGTTTTCGATTTACCCTCTCTTTGCGAAGCTCCTCCCTCTCCTTCTCAAACAATTTCTCCAGCGTCTGTATACGTGTGTCCTTCTCATTTTCTATCTGCTCTTGACGAATAATTGTTTCATGTTGCTTTGGGGTCTCCCCTGTGCTCCTCTTGCTTGATTTATAGTCTTCCAGCTGCTTGGAAAGAGCTTGTTTCTCTCTGTTCAATTCTTCCTTCTCCTTCATCACGGCCTCAGCTTTTCTCCTCCAGCTGTTTGTAAGCTTCTTCAGTCTTTCAATTTCTGCTTTGAGTTTATCCTCAATTTGAGTAGCATCCTGGATCTTTTTCTCCATTTCAGTTAATTCCAGTTTTCTGCTTTCAAGCTCTAGCTCCAACTGCAATATCTTCTCCTCTTTCTCCACAGAAATCTTTTTTAGTTCTTCGAGCTCAGCTTCCTTGGCCACCAGATTTTCCTGGACTCGTTCAAAATCAGCCTTCAGATTTTCATAGTTTCCCACATCAATATTCTTGTATGACTCGAGTAATTTAGATACTCTGTTTTCCCAGTGGCCCAACTCTGACTTCTGCTTCTCAAGTTCTTTATGGGATGCTTCCAGCTCAACTTCCTTTTCCTTTAGGAGTCTACCCAAATGTTCTACCTCTGCATTAGCTTTTTGAGCAACCTCATGAAGTCTCTGACACTCATCAAAATTGTGCTTATTTTCCTGTCGAAGCTGCATGTTGCTCTCGCGTAGCAAATTTAATTCTCTAACCTGAAGTTCAAGGGACTTAAATTCTTCATCTGTGTAAATTGCTGTTCTTGAATTAGCATGCTCGGCATTTAACTCACTTTGGGTTCTCTCACAAGCCTTTAGAGCACTTTCAAGCTGTGTTTGTAACCGAAGCCGTTCTTGTTTCAGCAAGGAGATCTCTGTCTCTGCTATCTCCTTTGACCGGCGCAAGTAGCCAATCACATTTTGCAGGTCACTCTCATTCTTTTTATCGGGAGACTGTCCAGCAACACTGCGTTCCCTTTCAGCAAGTCTGATGTCCAGTGCTTCAAGGCGATTGAGCAAGATCTTATTCACTTCATCAATTTCCTTGTACTTCTTCTCTGCTTCAACTTTTGACATCTCCAACTCTGTCTTCTCTCTAGTCCATGTTGCCTTCAAAATATCATTTTCACTTCTCAGAGCATCCACAGTCTTGCGTAATTGTGACGCTTCATCTTGCAGAAGAGCCAGAACCTCAGAAGTTCTAGTGAGTTCCTGAATTGTCTCAGATTGTAGGATAACCTGTCTCTCATAATTGTTTTGGGCAGTACGCCAGCGCATATGCTCCTTCTCCAGATCTTCCTTCAGCGAAGATATCCGAATTTCCAGTTCCTCACTTTGAGATATTTTAGCAGAGTGCATCTCATTAAGTCGCACAATCTCCGCCAAAGCAGAAGACAGTGATGCCTCTTTTTCAGCAATGACCAATGCAGTATCTCTGTCCTTTGATAAAAGATCGCTTTCGAGTTCAGAAATCCTTCTTCTCAGAGATCCAATTTCAGCTTCTAATGATCTCTTCATTTTTTCTGCCTCTGTACTGTACTCATGATGAGCAACTTCTATCTGTTTCAAAGCATCTTCATTCACTTGTGCTATGTGCTTAAACTGCAACATGTGATCCTTGTACGATCTTGCTTCATCTTTCAAGTTTTGAATTTCTTCTTTTGCTTTTTGCAGATCTGTGAATGCCTCATTGGTTAGAGAGACAGCTGATGCTGTACCAGGGCCCTTTACAGCAAATTTATCTTCAGAATGCTTGAGTTTCGCCTGCAGATCAATGCAACGAGCCTCAGATACAGCTGCCCTAGCCTCTGCAGCGGCTACACTCTGCAATGCATTAGTCAACTTGTTACCCATGTCTTCCACTTGTCGCATAGCATCTTTTAGTGTTCGTTCCCGATCATTGGTAAGATGCCGAACATGTTCCCTTTCTTCCTGAAGCTCTCGCTTAGCTTCAGCCCACTCCCTTTGAACACGTTGCAGTTCTTCCTCTAGTTTCCTTTTCCCAGTGGTTCTCGCCTCTTCACGAACTTCCTCTGCACTTTGAAATGTGTCCAAGCTAGCCTGTAAGCGGTGCACCCTCCTGGTCAAACTCACAACTTCCTCAGATGCTCGCTTCTCCGCATTCACCAAAATATCTTTTTCATGCTTCAGAAGAGACAGCTCCACTGACAACTTCTGTGAGAGCTCGTCAGAGGCTTGTACAATTTGAGCACTTTCACGCAACTTCCGCTGATATTCAATTATCATTTGAGAGAATTCCACATTTCTAGCAAGAATGGCATTTGCTTCATTTCTCTGATTCTCAGAGTCCTTAACGAAGTTATCAAGCCGTTCACGTGCAAATTTTGCTTCCATAGCTAATTTATCACGCTCGAGACGTAGAAATGTTGCCTCACTTCGTGCTTTAGCGACTTCCTCTTCAAGAGATTTAGCACGCTCTGCTGCTTGTTCATAGGCCTTCTTTGTTGCTTCCTGGGACCCTTCAAAGAGACGCAAAAGGTCCTTTCTTCCGTCATCTGGAATTGCTTCTAAAAGTGGGGGATATGCAGCACGATTTTTTACCTCCTCTTCATATAGTCTCTTATACATTCCCACTGCACTATGAAGTGATTCAATCATTTGCACTTGCTCTTCAGACCTTCTCAAAACAGCCTCAACCTTGGAGGCTGCTTCTTCAGTTTTATTTCTAAGCTCCAAATGAAATGCCTCCTTTAACTCTTCTTGGTTTTGCTCAACTTGTGCAGTAAGTGAACGGACCAAACTGCGAAGTTTCACATTCTGCTCCAATAAACCATTTATACCCTTAAATGTTAAAAGGTTCTCAGAAATCACTTTATCTGTTTCAGAATCAACCTCCAAGTCAGCAACCGCATGACTTGGTGCATCATCAGGAAAATTCCCATTCCCTACTCCATAACGAAGCTGAATATCACGGCATTCCTTCAAAAGAACTACCACTTGTCTTTTGAGGTCCTCAATCTCCCTTTCTTTAAATCTGGAGTCCCGCTCATGCTGTTTCAAATCTGCTTTCAATTCCCTTATGGTTTTTTCAAACCCAGCCTGATCAGAAAGTGCCTGCTGCAATTTTTCATTCATTGAAGTATACGCTTCAAGCATTTTTCCATTCTCCTCTCTTTCATGCATGACAACTTTAGCTTTCTCCTCAATTTCATATAGAACGCGCTCTAGGATAATTTCGGATTGTTTTCTACCTAGTTGCTCATGCCGTAATGCATCAACGGCTTCTTGGTACTTGGTGTACATTTTGGCTAAACTCCAACCATCACGGAGAAGAGAAGCCGCTAAAGCTGTCCCTGACACACCATATGGCATCTTCGGGACAATCATTTTGTTGCCCTCAACTCCTTTTCTACCTTCCAAGCTAGTGACTGTTGCTTCTCCAGTTGAATTAACCGGTACACTGACAAGCTGAAGAAGGTCTAGCTCATTTTCCTTTCTCGCATTCTCAATATCCTGTTCACACTTCTCCAATTTCTCCTTTAGGGAAGCAGCTTCCTTCTCAAGTTCATTTTTTAAAGTTGTTTGCCTCTCAAGCTTCTCTTTATAGTCATCTTCAACTTGGTTCGAATGTGTCTCCAAAGCCTTTATAACACCTTCAAGCTCCCCTGCCTTCTTAGACCATTCTTCACTACTTTCTTTATATAATTCCACAAGCCTCGTAGCAGTAACAATTTCAGCAGAGAACTGCTCTTCCTTAGCAGCAGCCGTATTTTTACTTGAGCATAACTCCTCCTGTGCAGCTGCCAACCTTTCTTCCAGCTCCTTCACTCTTTCTTTGTTCCATTTTAGCGAACCAGTACATTGATTTAGTTGTTTCTCGACGTCGGCAAGTTTAGCAGACATGTCAACCTCATATTCAGCATGAGACCTGCGTAGTTCTAGAAGACTATTCACTTTCGATGTTAGCTCATCATTCAGCCAGGCATTATGCTTCTCAATAAGCTCTTTCTCCTGGGCAAGGCGAGCACAAGTAGCACGAGATCGTGACAGCTCTGATTCACCATCATGTAACTTAGCCTCTTTCAAGCTAACAGTATCCGTCAACTTGACAATTTTGTCAAGGTAGCTATTAATCACAGCATTCTTCTCATTGATCTCCGAATCCTTTTGCTCTAGAAGCTCTAACAGCTGCCGCTTCGATTGGTGAAGCTCGGAAACTTCAACACTCAATCGCTCCACTTCTGAATCTTTACTAATCTGCAATGGTCATGAAGAAAGAAATAGCAACCAAATGAAATGAAATACAAACTGGCAAATCCTAGGAAATAAGAAAGTATCAAACACAGAAATGGCAGAGAAGAGACACATAAGAAAATTGACGAAGACAAGATGAATATAAGAGAGAGAGAGATAGAGGAAGACCAAGAACAAGAAGAAGAGGAGAAGGTAGGAAGGAACACTGGAGGACACTGAGCAAACATCAAATGAAGAAAATACAAGAGACGATATAGAAGAATCGCAATCGAGAACGTAGAAGATGGTTGGGATCAATGATTTAAAGATTGCCTGTCGGACAGGAGAATTACCCGAGTTGGACACAATCAAAAGGAAAGCCATTTTATGGGCCAAAAGACCCAGAATTGCCCGACTTCCTTCATTTTCAAAGCCTTTTTTTTTTTGGTTAAATGCAGCCCGTCTGGAGAATCACTCAAGTCGGGCTGGGGGAATTCGAATCAGACCCCTGCTGACTCAGGGTGCGATTCAGATTTTTGAATCATTAGTTGGGTTTTTGTGTTTTAGTTAACTACAATCATATAGTGAGGGTCAAAATTCTTGTTATTTGCTAATGTAGTTCTTTTATTTAGTATTGTTGTTATTGTTTCAATGTTTGTGTTGCGTGATAGAAGAGTAAGAGTTATTGATGTATTCAATGAAAATACAAACAAAAATTGGCAAGTATTACCCTGGTGGAACTAGGCAAAGACATAAAACTATTGTTCAATTACTTTAATGTATCAATACAATACCTGCAAATCATAACCTTATCTTGTGGTATCTTTACATATCCGATTTTTTTTGCACCATTTTTTGAGCCAAATCCGAAATCTTCACGATTCTTGAACTTACATAATTTTTGACATCTCTATTTTACCCCATATTTTGCCTCCAACTTCTTGGAACAATATATTGTTATCCCCTGACTTGCTAGCTATAGTTGGGAGAGAGGGACAAGGAAAAAGAAATAAGAAGAAGGGGGGAAGGGATGGAAACAGATAAGTACAGGGAGATGGATGAATTACAATGATAACGACAATAACAATAAGAAGAAAGCACATTTATCCATCATAAAAATATAACAGAAGAGATCTACAAGAAGAAGGACTGAGAAATCACAAGACTGCTAGAAGAAATAGACATATGGTATGCGTCTGTGTTTGTGTCAGAGAGAGAGAGAGAGAGAGAGAGAGAGAGAGAGAGAGAGAGAGAGAGAGAGAAGAGAGAGCGACGACGTACGTACGTACGTACGTACGTAGTACGTGTACGGTACGTACGTACGTACGTACGTACGTACGTCGTACGTTACGTCGGT